TAAAATTTTCCTAATCCAATTCCATGGCACCAAACCTCAATATAAATATAAAGACGAACTTGACTTTGTGTATTTTGACCCTCATTAGTTTATTAAATATATGGTATTTTAGTTGTTTCTGGCTCTCTTTCTCTTGTTTCATAATGTCCTGCTCATATCGAAATGCTTTGTGCAGATTCTGTCATGCCTTCCAAATTGCTCTACGCATTTAAAAAGTAGGTCATATGCTATTTCCTTAGATACTTGAAGTTTAAGGTGAAACTTCAGAGGATGGTATCTCAGTTATGCATTTGCTTTGTTCAGCAATTGTCAGCTTTGCAAATATTTCTAGCACTCAAAAGGAGGAAGCTGAAGGACTGGGGGTATCTTGTTTCTCTTGGGAGGAATTCTCTCAGTTGGTAATTTGTTAACACTGTTTTTCTCATATAAATTCTCTTTTTTGGTAAAAGATTGGTCAAATGGTTTTTTTTTTTTTTTTTTGGTTTGAACCACGAGGTGGTCCTGGATGGGCCCCAACTATGGGTGGCACCTTTAAGCCTTAACCACAACCCAGACTAATCCCCGCTCACACCGGGTCGGCCCGTAAGGGGTAAAGTGCTGGCCAAAGTGGTGACTCCATACGAGAGCAAGGATCGAACCCCTGACCTTCTCTTAAGGAATGAGAGTGCCGAACCACTCACACCAACCACCTTGGTTCGTCAAATGGTTTTCAATAATGTAAAACCACGTTTCCTCATCTTTTTTCAGGGAAATTTAGATTGTGAACTACCTCCAAAACAGAGGACTGACATTTGCACTATAATGTACACAAGTGGAACAACTGGAGAACCAAAAGGTGTTATTATTACTAATGGAGCAATTATGGCAGAAGTATTGTCTGTGGAGCAAATTCTTTTTCTAACAGATAAAGTGGTAAACAACTGATCAAAGATTACTATTTCTATAATAAATGAGTTTCCTAGCCTTTTTACGATACATGTCCTTGAAGTTTCCAAATTAATGATTATGCTGCCTCTTATTTGCACTTTAAAAAAAAAAAAAAAAAACCTTTTGGTTTCTCTTTCTAAGTTCTGTGATTACAAGGAAGTATTACCACTAGAAAGTTGAGAACATGATTTGTTGTTAAGTTTATCAATTGAACTCAATGATTATTTCCTGGTGCCTAATCACATGACATTGACACTGAAATTGATCACATGATTATTTCAGTGTACAGAAGAAGATTCGTATTTTTCCTTTCTTCCTTTGGCCCACATATATGATCAAATTATGGAGAGCTATTGCATCTACAAGGGTTCCTCTATAGGCTTCTGGCGAGGAGTAAGTAATAAAAGTAATTTATTGCAGTGATTTCTTTTTCTTACACTTATATGTTTTAGTCAAAAGTTCTCTTGGTGCATTACCAACTTGTTCTCATGTGATTTTTTACTTTGAACTTGAAGGATATCAGATTTCTAATGGAGGACCTTCAGGAACTAAGGCCTACTATGTTTTGCGGGGTCCCTAGAGTGTATGATCGCATATACACTGGTAATGCATGCATTATACTGAACTATATAGATATATGTCCTTGAATTTTTTTATTCTAAATATTTGGCTTAAATTTTCTTTGTGCAGGTATTGCTAATAAAGTTTCATCTAGTGGTGCGTTGAGGAAGACACTGTTCCAATATGCTTATAACTAGTATGAGTGACGATAAAATGGAAATATTTTTGTTTGCATTTGCATCTCTACAATAAAACTAATGAAGATTTAATTGACAGCAAGTTGGCAAATCTGGAGAAGGGTCTGCCACAAGAAAATGCAGCACCTCTCTTGGACAAGCTTGTCTTTGATAAGGTCAGTCATCCCATCCTTCACCATTCCATTCTTGAGATAGCTGTTTTACATTCTAACGAAGTGTTACTTGTGGCAGATGAAACAAGCACTAGGGGGACGAGTTCGTATACTGTTGTCTGGTGCTGCACCTTTGCCTAGGCATGTGGAGGAATTTTTTAGGGTCACCGCCTGCAGTACTTTGTCACAAGGATATGGTATGGTTGGATGAATATCTGCTAAGTCATCTAGGAAATACATAGAATCATATAAATGGTGTTAGTTAATCTTCATAGGTTTTGCAGTGACCTTTATATTTGGCCAAGAAAAAAGAAAAGACATTGTGATGTGGACTTGACCTAGTATGAATTCATTCTCATCTTTGAAGAAGCTGGTATTAATTGTTTTAACTGATGAAATCTAAAGCATAATTTTGAAAATACAGGAAAATTTATAAGGTTAAGATATTTACTTATCATTACAACTATATATGCATGATTTAGGATGTACCATGTATGCAAGATTTTCTAGTCAGTGGCGCGAGCTTTTTAAATTTTGATGCACAACACATCAACAGTAGTTTATAAAAGTTTTCCTTAAAAACAGAGCTTTCCATCAGCTTGTTAAGCTCTTTGACATGTAGGCCTCACTGAAAGCTGTGGTGGATGTCTTACGTCTATTGGCAATATTTTTCCTATGATGGGAACTGTGGGTGTCCCCATGACAACTATTGAAACAAGGCTTGAGTCAGTGCCAGAAATGGGATATGATGCACTTTCCAGTGTGCCACGTGGAGAGATTTGCCTGAGAGGAAAATCCTTGTTTTCTGGTTACCACAAGCGACAAGATCTGACAGAGGAAGTCCTTATTGATGGGTGGTTTCATACTGGTAAAAATTCTTACAATAGTTAGCCATACAGTTGAATGAAATAATTTACTTGCTTGATGGTCGGTCTTTTGGCTTGTCAAGGTGTGCATGTTAGAATGTTTTGTTGATGGTTAATTGTTGCATTAAAAGGTGGTTTTCTTTACTTTGAGTGGATTGCAGGTGACATTGGAGAATTGCAGCGTAATGGAGCAATGAAAATTATAGATAGGAAAAAGAATATATTTAAACTGTCTCAAGGTGAATATGTTGCTGTGGAAAACATTGAAAGCAAATACCTGCAATGCCCTCTTATCACATCGGTACGTTGCTTGTTACTACATCCAATAGAAGTAGAACTATTTCCATACATCAGGACTCACCTCTGTTTTCCTTCATTGACGAGTTTGTATTTTTGGTCTTTTTACTACATTTTAATTTGTGAAAATTTCCTTTTGGTTGTTTTGCTGTTTTCTAAAGTTGTGGATATCTGCACTTTCCTCTGGTTTGCAGATTTGGGTTTATGGGAACAGCTTTGAGTCGTTTCTTGTTGCTGTGGTGGTCGCTGACAGAAAGGCATTGGAGGATTGGGCAGCGGAGCATCATTTGACCGATGATTTTAAATCATTATGTCAAAACCTGAAGGCAAGAAAGTACATTTTGGATGAGCTCAATAGTGTTGGTCAGAAGCAGCAAGTATGTAGATAATTGTCTCAACTCCCTGTTTCTTATTCGATGCTTTGTTAATGTCTGCTCAATCTGAATTGGGTGACCTTCCTCCAGCTTCGAGGTTTTGAGCTGTTAAAAGCAGTTCACTTGGAACCAAATCCCTTTGACATGGAGAGGGATCTTATAACTCCAACATTCAAACTGAAGAGACCACACCTACTTAAATATTACAAGGTATGCCTTCTGCTCTCTCTTTCTATATATTGTCTTAAATCTCCTCACTGTAACTGTGCGACTTCCTTTTCAAGCACCTGGTAGGCCTTCAGTTTGCCACTCACTTAATATCCTTTCCCCACCCTTGTGCCTGTGACCTTGGATTATTTCTTAAAAGAAATGAATTTCTATTGCTAATGATCAAGTGCTATGCCATTAACGGGTCTCCCTCATTCTATATATAAATCTCTCTCTCTCTCTCTCTCTCTCTCTCTCTCTCTCTCCCCCTCTCTCTCTCTCTCTCCCCCTCTCTCTCTCTCTCTCTCTCTCAAATAGTAAAAGCTGACTTTGTCAAGTGAATGTTAAGTTTATATTTTTTGGAATATCATCTGCAGGACCGTATTGATAAACTGTACAGTGAAGCAAAGGAAGCAAGGGTATGACAGCAATGTCGAAAGCCGGAAGCTACTGAAGAAAACCTTTTTACCACAATTTCCCAAAGATGTGATTGCTGATAGTGGGCAGGTGCTACCCACAAAGACACTGGATTCGGATCCCTGTGAGTCCGTCTAAGTTAGTTTGTGTATAAATAAAGATAATATGAAAAGTTCTGGTTTGAAAAACCATATATTATATATATTGGTCCCAATGTCAGTTATTTGTGCTTGCAAATACACAGAACTGCTATATTCATTCACTCTTTCAGTATGAATGTCAGATATCATATCTGACAAGGAATGATTTGCTTCCCAAACCATTTGTATGGAAGTTAAAGACGATAAAGAATTAATGGCTATAACCCCAAAATCAATGATTTACTGATTCTCAATAGATCTTGGTCTATGCAATGTAAAATCATCTTTGTGGATTTCTTAGTTGTCTTTATCACCAACAAATCCACCCAAAGAGAAAAAGAAAAAGTTGCCAACAGGGTCTCAGGTTCAAACTCGCCTGGTACTTTGCTAGTGTGCGCGCAAAAACTCCGCTCCCTTTGTAGCTTAGATTATCGTTTGTATTAAAAAAGATTATCGCTTGTTTAAAGTAGAATTAAAGGACAACACTGAAACACACCAACTACTACGCGTATGAGCTTTTGTCGTTTTGGATTTTTCCAAAACCCATAATTGGACTGGAAAAGACGTTTGAAGTTTCAACGAAAGAACACTGGCTCTTCCTCTTTCTTTGTTTCCTCTCCTTTCTTTGTCTTCCCTTCACCTTCCTCGACTTCGCTGTGTTCTCACAAAGGAAGTTGAAGCTGAAGCCCGCAACTAACTTCCTCGCAGCTTCCCTCGCTCATAAGATGCTTTCTTATTAAAAGAAAAGAAACCCAGAGGCCATGCCCTTCCCAGCTCTTTGATCAGCCTGTTTACTTCTCCGGCATGCAACAAGCGACAGTCATTCAATGACATACGACGTCTTCCTGAGTTTCAGGGGCGAGGACACGCGATTCAACTTTACTGATCATCTGCACAGTAATTTGACCCGGAAGGGAATTAGAACCTTCTTAGATGATGGTCTTAAGAGAGGGGAAGAAATATCACCGGCTCTTCTCAGAGCGATCGAAGAGTCGAAGATTTCCATCATCGTGTTCTCCGAAAACTATGCATCTTCGAAGTGGTGCTTGGATGAACTCGTCAAGATCCTTGAGAGTAAAGAAACAAGGGAGCAAATAGTTTGGCCTGTTTTTTACAAGGTGGATCCGTCGGATGTACGGCATCAAAGGGGCAGTTTCGGTCAGGCACTTGCTGACTATGAATGTGAGTTCAAAGATGACACGGAGAAGGTGCAAAGATGGAGGAGAAGTCTTACGAAAGCAGCCAATCTGTCCGGATGGTGTTTCATCAACGGGTATATATTTATTTTCAACCACGCACCTTAGCTGCCTACTAAACTTGTTTATTTCTGTCCGGATCAGGACCCATATACTAAGGCATTGTTTTTATACAAATTTATAAATAAACCCAATCCTAGACATGTATTTATAAAAAAACCCAAGCACTATTTAAACATAGAAACACACCCAAAATCAACTCCAAAGTCAACTTTTTGGGTGTGCTTATAAATGGGTTTTGAGTGTGTGTAATGATTGGTTTTGGGTGTGTTTATAAAGTGTTTTGGGTGTTGGATTTTTTTATAATTTCAACTTCCATTTTGGGTGTTTTAGTGAAACTCCCTTGTTTTTAATGTCAAATGCTTTTGAACATCCAAGGTTTAAAGATGTGGCTGTTTTGTGTCCTTTGAACCTGATCCTTATACAGACAAACTGTCTAATTTTTCGATCCCCAAATTAAAAATTATCCCCGCAAAAAAATTAGCAAAATCCGAAATCGTACCATTTGATTATCACCATGAACATCTTGTAGAGGAAAAGTTGAATTAATCTATTTGTTGCCGCATTTTTAGATGACTAGATATTTCGGATTTTGGTAATTTTTTGATGAACTGATTTTGGTAATTTTTTATAAGAGTGATCATTGAATAATGTCCTTAAAAATAAACGGTTCATGTTATCCGAACCTGTGATCCATTTTTGTATATAGTCAAAAGGGGATTTCTTTTAGAAGGGAGTTGTACATACACACACACACATATATATATATATATATATATGTTTTTTTTTTCACAAATGGTCCTTGAGGTTTACGAAATTATCACCTTTCGTCTTTAACGTTTTTTTTGTGTGACACTAATGGTCCTTAAGGTAGACCACACATCAAAATGGTCCATATCGTTAGTTTCCGTCAAATTTTCTGTTAAATTGCTGATGTGGCACATGTGTGGAGCCCATACATCTAATGATATAGAGCCACGTAGTTTTAAATATAATATAATATTTTTAAAACTTAAAATTCATAAATAAAAAAATTAAAAGCAATCT